ACGGAAGCTGAAAAAGTAACAAAGGCTAAGGTATATAATGATTGTAATAGTGAGTTATTAAGTTCGGTGGGAATGGACAAAGGGGAGGATGGGAGGAAGCCTCAGCAGGGAAAAGGGGAAGCATGAGAGAGAGTAAAGATCAGGAACCTGCTTAAGGACAATGAGCATTTAAACAATGAATATCATCTAACATTAACCTTGCTGCTAGCCATTGATTTGTGAATTCACATCCTTATCTAAACAGGTATGCAGCTAAGTTAACTTTCTTGCTCCACTGATTCCTCCGATGGATCTTCATGTGACAGACCTGACCATCTTAAAGTTTATCTCATCACTTACAAATGTCAAACCACACACCAACATTTTCTATCACATCCTTAGATTTATGTTACTTTTTCAGTACTCTTCTAGTGTTCCCTAAATACTGTAGACTTCTATTTGTAATTTCAACTTCCAGAAACACAATGGGGAACATCATGATTTCCCAAAGAAGATAACAGCAGCTGACCAGCTTCAGACAAATATATCCAAAAAGATCAGACTTATTTTTTTCATTTTGAGTTAGTCACTCTCACAAAGTGAACACATACAGCGAGAACATGGTACTAGAAAGACTTAAAACAATACCATTAATCAAGATAGCTTGCGCATATGGATTTGAATAACTTAATCCTTGCCACCAAAAGACTAGAGAACACGCAGCAACTGTTATTACTATGCCAAGGGGGAGAGTTAACCATGCCACTTTCACTAGTTTTGCGGCATTTGCTTCCCTTGAGGCACCATCCCTACATTATAAATACATGGCATATAGGAGTAAAAAGATTGTACAGCCAGAATATCATAAGATAAAAACTTGAAGTCCTCAATCACAAGTAAAACAAAATTAAAAGCATGCAAACTTATCATACAGACATAACCCAAGAGTTTTCCCCTCTAAATCAAACTTTATCTCAGGAAAATGCTATTAATGGGTTTGGCATTCATCAAAATCAGCATGATACAGACAAAAAAGAAATGAAAATTTTAAATGTCTTACATTGGACCACTTGTTAAAATTTTAATTTGATCGCCTACATTAAATTAAAGGAAAACAAAACTAAACCTTTGAGAGCAAAATCAAGTAGTTTACAAAGTAAATGATAATTACGAAACCAACCGCAGTAAACAAATAAGTACAAGTACCACTTAATGTCAGCACGCAGGCAGGCTCGCCGGAATCCCTCTCGACTGAGAAACAATACGCACGTGACAAAAAGATGGAACTGAACTGCGTACAGCTGCATTTATGAACAAACAAAAAACAAAAGAAGAATTAAAAATTAAAAAATCACCACAAAAACTTATGAAAAGAAATATAAAATGGAAAAAAGAAGAAGAGAAAGGAAATGGAATTGTTACAGCGTAGGCCTCTGCCGTAAGGTGCCTGACGATCCATGAATTGAATATAAATGGAATTCCCCTTGACAGGATCTGTGTAGCTAATCAATGTGAAATAAAAAATTAGTTACCGAAAAGCCAGAGAAGAAGAACATTAGTGTAACAATTACCTAATAAGTACTTGAAAGTACGAGAGAAATTAGTTGAATCATCTACTGAAGCTGAAGCCCTCGACATGTCGAATTGGACTGCTGGGTTGAGATTTTCAGTTGCAGTATAAATTAGTTTGGTAAATACAGCTAACTCCCTCTGGTTTAACAGACCAAATTATGAAAAGGTCCCTTAGGTTTGAAAAATACCAGCTTCTGAGCCTCCGATACATGTCGTGTCCGTGGCGTAAAAGAACTGGTTTACTTGATGTCGTAGGTAGGGCAGTGGCTTCATAGAATTCTCAATTCAATTAATCTACGTTGGATTGTAATTTAATTTTTAAATAATTAATAGGATAACTTTTTATTGTTTATATAACCAATTAATTATTTTTTTATAATGTAGATTTTATGAAATGTATAAAAATTAATAAAATTGATAAATTTTCAACCTTTATTTACCCAATGAATCAATTAAAATTTGCGGGAATCCTAGCAATAACAACACTGAACATAACATAAATTTATATACAACCATAGGATCTAGATTGTAAAATATTATTTTAGTCCAATGTAATAAGTCTAACCGTGAGTATGTATGATTATGAATATCAAAATGTTCTAATTAGAGAACGATGTTTTATTTACATGATACATATGCCCGATTGCTTGGGAAGCATCTTAGAATTTGGAGTTACAGATACAGCACAGATGGGAAATTAAAAAATTTAAACTTTCAAGTTTCAACATTCAATCTCTATTTTAAAAACTGGACCAGCCGGTTCGACCGGGACTCGGCAACTTCTCCGGTCCGGTGCAGGTCTTAAGGGATTTTTTGTAATATTTCAAAATTATAAGGGTTAATGAGTAACTTTATAGGAGTGTTTTGGAGATATGTCAAAATTTAGGGATAAATTGGGAGCATTTTTTTAATAAATACAAATTTTAGGGACTAATTAAACTTTTTTAGGAGAATTTTTGTAATATATTAAAATTTAAGGGATTAACAATAATTTTTTAAAAATAAAATTGTAGCTAACATCATCGGTCCAACCGGTTGGACCGGTTGACCCGTGACCCGGGCAACAAAATGGGTTGCCCCCCCGTCCGAGTTTTAAAACAATGCATTCAATTGATAAAACATAGTGTTCCATTAATAAAGGTAGTAAGAAAAAGAGGAAAATGCTAGGATGCACTAGACAAAGTGTGTAAACACTCCATAGAATTATTAGTTAGATTAGCATTCTCCCTTACTATCCATAAAGATTAGATAGTCATGATTAATAGGCTGAAATTGGCCGAAAGAATCCTAAACCTCAATGTCCCATTATTTAATGAATAATTCTACAATTATAATCCAATCTTACAAATTTTATCTCACAGTTTCGATGTGATAATTCGCAATTGATCAACTCATAAATAAGTCATGTCAATCACATCGTAATTGATCAACTCATAAACAAGTCTCACTAGTCCATTTGCAAACTGTGGGCCGTAAGAACAAATTTTGTAAGATTGAAAATCTTTATCCTTAGTTTGTACTTTTTTATTTTCAATGTTATTATGAATCATCATTCCATTAAATAGATCTTGTTTCATAACAATTTTTCGATAATGATGAAGAGACATCCGAACATTGTTTTAAAAATCGGACCAGAGGGCAACCCGATTTGATGGTCGAGTCACGATTCAATCGGTCCAACTGGTTGGACCGGTGACGTCATCGCACATCATGATGACGTCAACACATTTTTAAAAAAAACAATTTTTTTTTTTTAAGATTTCTATTTTTCAATAAGACAATAACAACTTAATTACTGTCCAACATGATTCAGAGTTCAAATTCAACAACAATCCTAACACAATTTAAGTATTTAACAATAATTCAAAGTCCAAATCCAAACATGATGTTGTATTTACATATCAAATGACAAAATGCATAATAATTAATAACAAAACATTTGATGCAAATATTTTTTCTTTGATCCGTCTCCATGTTGATTGAGCTTGACACACTAGCATCAAAATTCATCACTATCATCACCATCATCATCATCATAACCATCACCACCATCTTCGCAAATTTCAGTAAAAAATAGAAATCATAAGTTAAAACTTGTAATTTAATTTAAATAGATACTGAGTTGTTTAAATAATTGAAACCAACTTTCTGAACCATCGGTTGAATCATAAAAAGAAGGGTGATCAGCAACTCCAATAGGAATAGATCATTCTTCATATAACATTTGTTCCAACTCCTCATAATTAAGTTCATTGACCTCCTCCTCCTCTTCATCGTCAACTATCCAACCTTCAGTTTTGTCAATACTTTCATAATCAATAGGATCCAAACTTATTCTCTTGTAACACTTCCTAAAATACCATAAAAAAATATTAAAAGCATGACAACTAAAATATCAAGGAAAATAATAGATAATAACAATAAGAGTGATGCATAATTGAGTAATTGACAATGTTTTATACCTGTTTTGCAAACACAAGTTATAGTAAACGAAAACATGATCATTCAACCTTTGATGCTCCAATCTATTCCTCTTTTTAGTATGTATGCGCTAAAAAACACTCCAATTTCGTTCACATCCCGAAGAGCTTGAAGTTTGGCTAAGAATTTTTATTGCAAACTTTTGCAAATTTGGAGTACTATACCCAAATGATCTCCACCATTCATCTACTTGAAAATTAAATATAATAAATAAATTGGACTTAAAAAACAAAAGAACTTATAAATTTTATAACTATTACGTACCAGGACGTGTGGTTTTGGCGGTTTCAAGAGCAAGCCCGCGAGAAAAGCTTTCCTCCCGATTTGAATATAATCTACTCTCTTCCATTAACCTTTCTTGTTCAAATTGAAAGCACTTGCTTTACTGTCGATAGTATCAAGGAAACCACTCATGACTTTTGGCTTGAGGCAAAAAGATTTTTCGTCATATTTAAAGGCAAGATTCAAATAATAAGCCGCAGCATGGATATCACGACGCAACGTCCTATCCCAACGTAGCTTAATGATTCGTGTATAAGGCTTGTACAATTTCTTTTTATTCTTAAACAACTTCTTAATTGCATTTTTCGCTCTGTACATGCCATCATACACATATCCTATTGCTGGCTTCTCATCTGAGTCAACAATCCTCAACAAGCGCATCAATGGACTCACAACTTTGGATATCTTATCCATATCATCCCAAAAATCGTTATCCATAATTATGTCAATAATATATTTGTCTGTATTACTTTTTGCATATCGACAATCGACAAATGATCTATCTGTCACCATGGCTTGCAAGTCATGTTTGTGCTCATGAATGCTTCTCATTGCAATGAAAGTTGTAGCAAAACGGGTTGCACCCAGACGAATAATTTCTTTCCAACCTTGTTCAATTGATAAATAATAGATGTTAGTCAATTATAAAAAATGCATATTATGTTATGAATTGACAAGAGCACGAGCTAAAGGTATATTACCTGTCTTTTCCTCAACCGAGCTATCAAAAATGTATGATTATATATAAACTTCGTCACCTTAGAAGCACGTCTCGCAAGATAAACTATGTGATCCATCTCAACTATGTCTTTTAACACCAAATTTATACTATGTGCTGCACAGGGTGACCAAGTAATACTCAGATATTTCTCAGACAATATTCTTCCAGCAGCTTTATAATTGGATCCATTGTCTAAGACAAAATGGACAATACCATTTGGTTCAATCCATAAAGCTACCTCCTCAAACATCTTCAACAATGTCCCAGCATCCTTCACAACATCTGAAGCATCAACTGATTTCACAAAACAAACTCCCTTAGGACAATACACCATAAAATTGATCAATGACCTATGTGAATTATCAGTCCAACCATCAGCCATTAAGGTACATCCAACATTTTTCCAAATCTTTCTGTAACTATCAACAAGAAGCTGCACTTCCTTCTTAGCATCTCTTAACAAATTGACACGCAAAGCATGATAATTTGGGTGTTTATACCCATGCCCTATTGCAGTTATAGCATTCATCAAGGGCTGAAGATAAATTGAATTTACAGCATTAATTGGGATGCAATCATCATAAAAGAATCTTCCAAAAGTCATGTCTGCTCTCCACGTCGCATCTTTTCTAACTAAACAGCTCCTAATTGATGGTTGAGATCCACCAATTGTCCTTGGAGCAAAATAGTCACCAACCCCAATAGATTTGTTTCTCTTTGATTTGTCTAGCATTGTACTTTGTTTTTTACTGCCAAACCTACCTTCATTTATGTGAATTCCTGATGGACGAAACTCTTCACTATCTTCATTTAACATGTCTCCCTCAAATTCATGTACGGGAGCACCGTAGGGAGTATTATACTTACTAGAATCAGCCTTCTCTTTATTCTTTATCCCAATGTCTTTTAGTGTTCTCTCATGGAGTATTGAACATCAAAATGAACTTTTTTACAAGCACCAATATTCCCCTTTATTCCTGCTAGATGTTGTTTCATTCTAAAAATACCTCCTCCTCTAATTACTTTCCCACAGTGAAGATATCTTAATGTCTTCCTTCCATTTAGATCTATACCTTCAATAATATGTACCCATGTTATATCAGTCCTGCCTCTACTAGATTGTGAAGAAGACCCAAAGCCAGATATTGTCATTGTCTATTTTTAATATTTATCTACCTATCACACAATAAAATTGCAAACAAAAGAATCACATAATCACGCATTTGTGTTTGCATTTGAATTTTGTGAAACAGTAAAAACAAAATACAACAAGATAACATTTGTGTTATGTGTATGTATGGCCTGGTAGAATGAATGTTAATCCAAATGAAAACGGAAAATTAGTTAAAAACTGACTGATTCATTCATTTGAATGGATGTCATTGATTCACATAAATGCATTTGGATGGTGTATTAAATTAAAATGAGCAGTCAAATCTATTGTGGTACAAATTCCAAGTCTTTGTGTTTAATGACACTACTGGGCTGTGGTCTTTGAAGCGGGGGAGTTAATAGTTGCCATGGAAGCATTTTCATTTTTCAATCTGAAAATGACCCATATTACCTGGATCGAGGAATATAAGATAACTAGACCAATATTTAATTGCTTAATTTCCACTTAATTTGCTTTTTGGTAATCATTCATAACAATAACGTAAGACTCCATCCACTTTGTTTATACGAAAAGATAATTGTCTCGTCATTTTTTTTTAATAATGTTGGGGGCCAATTATTGAACACCAAGAAAATCAAATCCACCACCAATCGTCCATTGCTAATAAAGTATTCATCGGAGCTCTTAACAACTGATTTTAGGATTTACAGAATTAATTGACATGCCTCTAAATTGATTGAACAACTTGATCATAAAAAATAAAATAAAAAAATCTATCATGATAGATTGTCAGTTTTACTTAAAAAATTTGTTACTAATGACCGAAAATAACTGAACAGAATGGTAAGATTGATAATAAAAACCTAGCATTACAATACGAGTTGTGAACCTGGTGAGACTCAACTCAACTCATTTTAACTTCCATGACTCAACAGATTTGGATAGTGCAACAGATTGAAAAATGTAAAGGGTGTTAACTTAAATGTAAAGGGAGCGAGGAATGGTGTTACCTGGATGGAGGAATGGAGCTGTCGTCGACGAATGGAGCTGTCGCCGTCAATTTCCAGCGAGGAACGGAGCTGTCGTCGTCGATTTCTAGAGAGGGAGGAAGATGTCGTCGAATTCTGACGACGGAGGAAGATGTCGTCATCGATTTTAGAGAGTTCAGATGCGATTTGGGTGGGATTTCAGAGAGAACAGAAGACAGAGCCGAAACCGTGAGAATTTTCGCAAAGAACAGAGTGTTTGCTGAGAAATTTTCATGAGAAAAACTGAAAGAGAAGAAGATGAGAAAAGGCTACGTGACTGCGTCGCGTATTAGGGATTTTTAATATGTGGACCGGTTTTTCTACCGGTCCAAATTGATATTATCCAGTTTTCAACCGGTTTAAAGCAGCTCAATATATAATAGCGGTTTTGAGGTTCACTCGCACCAGACACGTGACCGGTTCCCGGTCCAACCGGTTGGACCAGCCGGTCCGGTTTGGTTTGGTTTTTAAAACAGTGCATCAGAGTTTATCAGAATTCAAGGCGGTCCAACTGGTTGGACCGGCCGGTCCGGTTTGGTTTGGTTTTTAAAACAGTGCATCCAAGTTTATCAGAATTCAAGGACCCATCAATGTAGAGTGAGGCATGCAGAGTTAAGGATTTACCATTTTGAGGTTGGACCTGCCGGTCCGGTTTGGTTTGGTTTTTAAAACAGTGCATCCGAGTTTATCAGAATTCAAGGACCCATCAATGTAGAGTGAGGCAGGCAGCGCATTGTTTTAAAAACCGGACCGGAGGGCAAACCGTTTTGATGGTCGGGTCACGGTTCAACCGGTTAGACCGCTGATTGAACCAGTGACATCATCACACATCATGATGGTATAGTAATAAATTAGTTTGTATAGTAATAAATTGTTTGACCCTATAATGTACAAATGTTTTACTATAAAATAAATAGCACACCCTTAAAAAGAAATGTAAAAGCACTTTACATTAACATCATCATTGATTTAGCTTTACTAACATCAGTAGTATTATTAGTATATACATTAACATCATCTAGGCAGTTCAACTGATCTAAATCCTTATATTACCATCCAGAGCAATTCGAAAATCCATCAAAATTACATAGCATAAGTTACTCGGATGATATACTAGAAACACAAAAGATGAGCACACTGAAGAGTTCATAACCCAAAAACATTAAAAGAAAACAAAAACAGAGGTAGCTTTTAGTATCGAATGGCTTCAAAATAGTCCAGATAAATCAAGAAGCCTCACTGCATGAAGTATATTAACCACTCTATTGGCCAAGAAAACACTGGTAAAACATTGCGGCATTCCATTGAGGCCTTCAGCAGCTTCAGACCCTAACAATAGGAGATCAAATTAATATATCACTAACTATACATATCAAATTTCAACCGTCTTAATCCCTAAGAATCCTTCCATCATCATCTCCTCCATTTCTCTTCAATATAAAACACATCAAACTTTCCCATGCATGCATGAATGAACCCCACATCGATATGTGAATTTAACAAAAATGTTTTCAAATGTTTGATAGCAATGGAGATGGGAAATAACAAAATGATATGACACAATTACTGTCAATCCAATACATAAATCAATCCAACACCAAACAGATTCAAGAAATCAAAAACCAAGAATTACACACTCAATCTGCCGAAACAGAGCAATACTTAAACCAAGCCTAATCACTCAATAACTCTCTAAAACCTGCAAGAAATTAGAGATCTATCCTAGCCTCAAGAATGAAACGCAACCCTCTCACAAATCTGCCACGATTACAATGAGAAAGACCCCAGCAAAAAGCCCCAAATCAATTGCTCATTCAACACAAAAGAACCCTAACAATTTCAGACTAAAAATGTAAGGAAGCGAGGAATGGCGTACCTGGATCGAGGAATGGAGCTATCGGCAACAAATGAAGCTATCGCCGTGATTTCCAGCGAGGAAGGAGCTGCGATCGATTTCCGGGAAGGAGGAAGAGCGCTCGATTTCACAGAGTTCAAACGCGATTTGGGTGGGATTTCAGAGAGACAAGAGACATAGCTGAAACCGCTACAATTTTCGCAAAGAATAGAAAGTTTGCTTAGAAATTTTCGTGAGGAAAACGGAGAGAAAGAGAAGAACTGAAGATTGAAGATTGAAGAGACGAGAAGGGGCGTGAGAAGACTGCATCGCGTTTAGGATTTAGGTTGTTAATTGGACCGGTTTTTCAACTGGACCGACGGTTTAGTAATTATCCGGTTTTTAACCGGTTTAAAACGGTTTAATGCTTATTGGTTTTGAGAGTGAACCAACGGACACGTGACGGTTCACAGTCCAACCGGTTGAACCGACCGATCCAATCCGGTTTTTAAAATAGTGATGCAGAGTTAAGGATTTACCATTAGTATCCTCAAACCTTTGCCCATCGACCGAAATGGTACTCCGCTGGCTTAGTACATAACTACTATTCACATTAAGCCCTAAAACAGCCTTTATATCCCCACTTAATTTTAAAATTAGCACTGGGCCAAACTAAAACGTAAAGCATATCGTCAACCATGAAAAGTAGACTTACTGGATAAATAATCCAACAAATTCTAAGGAATTCATGGGATAAAACACCCCTTACTGGTTCAAGTAACACAACTAAATTGCCTCAAGGCAACAAAATTAACATGTTCAAGAAAACTAACCCACAAAACTTTTGTCTCGGAGTTCAAACTTTACACAAATTAAACTAGGGCAATAATAGAAACACCAAATAACAATACAAAATTTAACGGTAACGCCTGAGTGAGAGTGTATTGTTCCTCTTCCAGTTGGCCTCTTGAAGGTCGAGCCTTGTGGTGCAGGTGTCCTTTCCACGGAGACCTCTGTACTTCTTTCCAGCAGAAGTGAGTCCGCGAAGTCCCTGTGTTGTGAACAGGATTGCAGATCCAGTTGATCCTGGGGTCATTACGGACCGCATGTGGGCAGCATCAACCAAGATTACCTCAAAGTATTGTATGTTGAATCCTGAATTCATACGAGTACAACAAACAATCAACATAACATAAAATTCAGCAAACACGAATAAAGAGTGAACAATATACACACGTAACAGATACCCATACTATCCCTGTGCAAACTTTTAGAGGAATTAGAAATGGACACTTCACAGTATACCCAACCATCCCAGTTCAGATGACCCATTTAACAAGAGAGACAAAATAAGACAAATAGATCCAATCTTGAGTAGAATGGAATATATGATAACTCACATAAACAGCATCAAGAAAAATTGTTACTTCCTAAAATTCCCATATTGAACTTCTTTTATAGGTGAATCTAATCAATTTAAAAATTAAAGCCTACAGTGTTAAATTCAAGAAATCTTGTACACACCTCATTGATCCAGTAAGAGTTGGAACCTTAAGGCCACCGAGTTTCCTACCAGCACGTTCCTCAGCCACTGAACGCTTGCGCGCTGGAATTTCAGCTGAGTGACACCCTGGTTGTTGGGTACCGTATACAATACCCTTGGGAACTGGTCTCTTCCGTCACCTCGTCTCACACGCACACGATAGACCACATAACCCTGTAACAATAAAACAGTCACCAAAAGTAGCAAACAGCACAGGAAACATCAATAAAAACATTAAGAATATACAAAAAATTAGTGGAAATGTGCAGTCATTACAACTGCAGAATAATGCAGATAAATGGAGTGGGAGATGAAAGTGATGTGCGCATATCCCTACTTAAACACATTATAAATAGCATGCACATTCACAGCAAACAATAGCTTATTTCGCCAAATTCTTACATACATAAGCTTTTAAGCATTAACAGAAAATAGAAACCCATGGGATAGCAATTGTGACCGCAAGCAAGACCAACAGCAACAAAATACATGAACATTGAATAGACAACAGGATATAAAAAATTGAAAAACAAGAGCATGAATCTATCACAGGAAGCAACCACAATAAAAGCGAAACATATTACTGACTTACAGAAATTATTACTCTTGAAAAGGTACACCAAAGAAAAGAAAGAAATGTTTCTTGGTCTCATCAGTTTCATATATTTTAGCTAGCAGACAAACATTTATCTAGTAAGAGTTAGAATCAGTACTTATAGTTACTCATAATTTCTGAAACAAAATGTTAGCAGAAAACAGGACTTCTTTAATATGTATGTGTTACAGATAACACACAGAATAAAATGAATACAACAAAATAACTAAAGCAAATAACATCAAACATACATCCATATCAACATTTTCATAACAAAATAAATGACCTGATCAACAAAACGGTTAGTTACTCAACATAAAATGGAACAACATACATAAATCCCCAAATCATTTTACCTGCTTGGCCTGTACCCCAAGCGGCGGGCCTTGTCAGGGCGAGTGGGATGAGTTCACGCACAATAGAAGGATGTTGGCGGTACTCCCAGCACCTCACCCTCTGCAGAAACCTCATACATCGGACTGCTTCTTCCTCCATAGCTCCGACACGAAGTGTAAGCACCTAATCATTCCACATAAACGAAATCAAGACAACATAGTACTAAAATACAATGCACAACATGCAAGTTTTGCCAAAATTCATTCACATAAGGGGAAGACCATCACCACATAGCACCAACATACTCACTTAAAAAAAGAAAACACCAATAAATACTACTATATGCAAGTTTTCTCACATGACAACACGATTTCTTCAATTTCATCACTAAACATATAAAAAATGTGAGAAAAAAATAACATAAAAATCAAGTTCAAACGAAATCTTCTTAAATCTAAAAGCAAATTACTCTCTTAAAATAACATAGAACATAAAAATCAATCAAAACTTAGCATTTTATCGCTAAACGACTGACAGACTCAAACAAGATTCATAAAGCGACGTCGTGTCGAAAAAGAAAAGAAATCAACGAAAACAACCACTCACTAAATGAGGAGCCGTATAGTTTAGATCTTACTGAATACGTTTGATATTATAGCAAAGAAATGAATGATTCAGCCATAGCGAGCTCAATCGACGTTTAAGAACAGAAAATGAAAGGGAAGAGAGATGGGTACCCATCGGTTGTTGAGCTCCTGTGCTCTCTCGAGTTTCGGCTGAGGAGTTGCGGGGGGGAAGATATATGAGAGCCTTACTATAACTAGGGTTTTAGCGTGTGGATCAACATCAAATTACCATTTTACCCATTTAGAAAATAAACGGGCCGAATGGCCTTCCTTTAGTTATTGGGCTGCTATAACTAGGGTTTTAGCGTGTGGATCAACATCAAATTACCATTTTACCCATTTAGATAATAAATGGGCCGAATGGCCTTCATTTAGTTATTGGGCTGCTTCCATATTATTAGGCCTACACTTATCTCAGTCATAATGTCATCCCACTATTTTTCTTCTTATTTTTTTTTTTAATAACTTCACAAAATATCCTTGAATAAAAAATAATTTGAAACAAATATATTACTTTAGGAGTGTTTGGTTAGCGGTAATAAAATATTAATCTGGTAATCTATCCTTTAATCCGAACATTACCTTATTTGGTTGTTAGGTGATAAAAGATTTCAGTGATCGATCTTTTAATCCAGACATTAGTATATTACCTTGTTTGGTCGTTAGGTAATAAAAGATTATGGTAAACGTCTAATACGAATAGTGATTACTGTAAATGATATTAGAGGTAATCTGATTGCCAAAAAAAAAAAAATGTGGTATTTTAAGATTACTATGCAATCTAATTTTTATTCCCATCTTACCCATAATTAATTAACATTTCGGACGCAAATGTTATCATATGTCTATCAAATAACAATAAATCAAACTATGCAAAATGAGCTATAACCCCCTGTATTTGAGAATTTAGTTAAAACACCTCAGTTACAATAAAAGTTTTAAATTTAACAAAATACTTCCAACTACCCAAGATGGTAGGCAGTTGTCGAAACGGTATACGACTGGTCAGATTCGGCTTAACTTTATCTATTGTGAAGATTAACTAAACCGGACGAAAATACTCAAGTATGTTTCGAAGGTCTGAGTTTTTAATTAAAATCTCTTTATTTTATTAATCACAATAATTGTATAGTGTTAATGAAATATTTAATGCATATTTAATTATTTATATATATTATTAACACGATTAATTTGTTACCACATTGTTGTGTGTGTTTACAATATGAATATTCTAATAGTTTTGATTAATTTACCATTTTAGAAGAATGGGTTTGTTGTACCCCAAGCGGCGGGCCTTGTCAGGGCGAGTGGATGAGTTACACGCACATAGAAGGATGTTGGCGGTACTCCCAGCACCTCACCTCTGCAGAAACCTCATCACATCGGACTGCTTCTCCTCCATAGCTCCGACACGTAAGTGTAAGCACCTAATTCCATTCACATAAACGAAATCAAGACAAACATAGTACTAAAATACAATGCACAACTGCAAGTTTTGCCAAAATTCATTCACATAAGGGGAAGACCATCACCACATAGCACCAACATACTTCAATTAAAAAAAGAAAACACCAATAAAATACTACTATATGCAAGTTTTCTCACATGACAACACGATTTCTTCAATTTCATCCACTAAACATATCATAAAATTGTGAGAAAAAAATAACATAAAAATCAAGTTCAAACGATATATCTTCTTAAATCTAAAAGCAAATCTACTCTCTTAAAAACATAGAACATAAAAATCAATCAAAACTTAGCATTTTATCGCTAAACGACTGACAGACTCAAACAAGATTACATAAGCGACGTCGTTCGAAAAGAAAAGAAAACAACGAAAACAAACACCTTCACATAAATGAGGAGCCGTATAGTTTAGATCTTACTGAATAACGTTTGTATTATAGCAAGAAATGAATGATTCAGCAATAGCGAGCTCAATCGACGAGCTATCGTCAACAAATGAAGCTATCGCCGTCGATTTCCAGCGAGGAATGGAGCTGCCGTCATCGATTTCCGGCGAAGGAGGAAGACGTCGTCGATTTCACAGAGTTCAAACGCGATTTGGGTGGGATTTCAGAGAGAACAGAAGACATAGCTGAAACCGCTACAATTTTCGCAAAGAATAGAAAGTTTGCTTAGAAATTTTCGTGAGGAAAACGGAGAAAGAGAAGAACTGAAGATTGAAGATTGAAGAAGACGAGAAAGGGGCGTGAGAAGACTGCATCGCGTTTAGGATTTAGGTTGTTAATATGGACCGGTTTTTCAACTGGACCGACGGTTTAGTAATATTATCCGGTTTTTAACCGGTTTAAAACGGTTTAATGCTTATAATGGTTTTGAGAGTGAACCGAACCGGACACGTGACCGGTTCACAGTCCAACCGGTTGAACCGACCGATCCAATCCGGTTTTTAAAATAGTGATGCAGAGTTAAGGATTTACCATTTAGTATTCTCAAACCTTTGCCCATCGACCGAAATGGTACTCCGCTGGCTCAGTACATAACTACATATTCATATTAAGCTGCTAAAACAGCCTTTATATCCCCACTTGATTTTAAGATTAGAACTGGCCCAAACTAAAACGTAAAGCATATCGTCAACCATGAAAAAGTAGACTTACTGGATAAATAATCCAACAAATTTCTAAGGAATTCATGGGATAAAACACCCCTTACTGGTTCAAGTAACACAACTAAATTGCCTCAAGGCAACAAAATTAACCATGTTCAAGAAAACTAACCCACAAAACTTTTGTCTCGGAGTTCAAACTTTTTTAACACAAATTAAACTAGGGCAATAATAGAAACACCAAATAACAATACAAAATTTAACGGTAACGCCTGAGTGAGAGTGTATTGTTCCTCTTCCAGTTGGCCCTTCTTGAAGGTCGAGCCTTGTGGTGCAGGTGTCCCTTTCCACGGAGACCTCTGTACTTCTTTCCAGCAGAAGTGAGTCCGCGAAGCTCCCTGTGTTTGTGAACAGGATTGCAGATCCAGTTGATCCTGGGGTCATTACGGACCGCATTGTGGGCAGCATCAACCAAGATTACCTCAAAGTATTTGTATGTTGAATCCTGAATTCATACGAGTACAACAAACAATCAACATTAACATAAAATTCAGCAAAACACGAATAAAGAGTGAACAATATACACATGTAACAGATATCACTAACTATCCCTGTGCGAACTTTTAGAGGAATTATGGACACTTCACAGTATACCCAACCATCCCAGTTCAGATGACCCATTTAACAAGAGAGACAAAATAAGACAAATAGATCCAATCTTGAGTAGATTGGAATATATGATAACTCACATAAACAGCATCAAGAAAAATTGTTACATTCCTAAAATTCCCATATTGAACTTCTTTTTTTAGGTATGAATCTAATCAATTTAAAAATTAAAGCCTACAGTGTTAAATTCAAGAAATCTTGTACACACCTCATTGATCCAGTAAGAGTTGAGAACCTTAAGGCCACCGAGTTTCCTACCAGCTCGTTCCTCAGCCACTGAACGCTTGCTGCGTTGGAATTTCAGCTGAGTGACACCCTGGTTTGTTGGCTTACCGTATACAATACCCTTGGGAACTGGTCTCTTCCGTCCACCTCGTCTTACACGCACACGATAGACCACATAACCCTGTAACAATAATTAACAGTCACCAAAAGTAGCAAACAGCACAGGAAAACATCAATAAAACATTAAGAATATACAAAACCTTAGTGGAAATGTGCAGTCATTACAACTGCAGAATAATGCAGATAAATGGAGTGGGAGATGAAAGTGATGTGCGCATATCCCTACTTAAACACATTATAAATAGCATGCACATTCACAGCAAACAATAGCTATAATTCTGCCAAATTCTTACATACATAAGCTTTTAAGCATTAACAGAAAATAGAAACCCATGGGATAGCAATTGTGACCGTAAGCAAGACCAACAGCAACAAAATACATGAACATTGAATAGACAACAGGATATAAAAAATTGAAAAACAAGAGCATGAATCATATCACAGGAAGCAACCACAAATAAAAGCAAAACATATTACTGACTTACAGAAATTATTACTTTTCGAAAAGGTATACCATAAGAAAAGAAAGACATGTTTCTTGGTCTCATCAGTTTCATATATTTTAGCTAGCAGACAAACATGTATCTAGGAAAGAGTTAGAATCAGTACTTAATAGTTACTCATAATTTCTGAAACAAAATGTTAGCAGAACACTAGGACTTCCTTAATATGTGTGTGTTACAGAGAATAAAAATGAATACAACGTAATAACTAAAACAAAATGAACATCAAACATACATCCATATCAACATTATTTCATAACAAAATAAATGACCTGATCAACAAAAACGGTTAGTTACTCAACATAAAATGGAATCAACATTACATAAATCCCCAAATCATTTTACCTGCTTGGCCTTGTACCCCAAGCGGCGAGCCTTGTCAGGGCGAGTGGGATGAGTTACACGCACAATAGAAGGATGTTGGCGGTACTCCCAGCACCTCACCCTCTGCAGAAACCTCATCACATCGGACTGCTTCTTCCTCCATAGCTCCGACACGTAAGTGTAAGCACCTAATTCCATTCACATAAACGAAATCAAGACAACATAGTACTAAAATACACCAATGCACAACATGCAAGTTTCGCCAAAATTCATTCACATAAGGGGAAGACCATCACCACATAGCACCAACATACTTCACTTAAAAAAAAGAAAACACCAATAAAATACTACCATATGCAAGTTTTCTCACATGAAAACACGATTTCTTCAATTTCATCCACTAAACATATCATAAAATTGTGAGAAAAAAATAACATAAAAATCAAGTTCAAACGATATATCTTCTTAAATCTAAAAGCAAATCTACTCTCTTAAAATAACATAAAACATAAAAATCAATCAAAACTTAGCATTTTATCGCTAAACGACTGACAGACTCAAACAAGATTACATAAAGCAACGTCGTTCGAAAAAGAAAGGAAATCAACGAAAACAAACACCTTCACATAAATGAGGAGCCGTATAGTTTAGATCTTACCAAATAACGTTTGATATTATAGCAAAGAAATGAATGATTCAGCAATAGCGAGCTCAATCGAAGTTTAAGAACAGAAAATGAAAGGGAAGAGAGATGGGTACCCATCGGTTGTTGAGCTCCTGTGCTCTCTCTAGTTTCGGCTGAGGAGCTGCGAGGGGAGAGATTATATGAGAGTCTCACTATAACTAGGGTTTTAGCGTGTGGATCAACATCAAATTACCATTTTACCCATTTAGATAATAAATGGGCCGAATGGCCTTCCTTTAGTTATTGGGCTACTTCCATATTATTAGGCCTACACTCATCTCTGTCATACTGTCATCCCACTATTTTTCTTCTTATTTTTATTTTTTAATAAACTTTCACAATATCCTTGAATAAAAAATAATTTGAAACAAATATATTACTTTAGGAGTGTTTGGTTTGCAGTAATAAAAGATTAATCCGGTAATCTATCATTTAATTGAAATATTACCTTGTTTGATTGTTAGGTAATAAAAGACTATGGTAAACATCTAATACCAATAGTGATTACTGTAGATAGTATTACAGGTAATCTGATTATCGAAAAAAAAATGTGATATTTTAAGATTATTGTGATAATCTAATTTTTATTCCCATCTTTACCCTTAATTAATTAACATTTCAGATACAAATGTCCTCATATGTCTATCAAATAACAATCAATCAAATTGTGTAAAATAAGCTATAACCCTCTACATTTGAGAATTTAGTTAAAACACCTCAGTTATAATAAAAGTTTTAAATTTAACAAAATACTTCCAACTACCCAAGATGGTAGGCAGTTGTCGAAACGGTATACGACTGGTCAGATTCGGCTTAACTTTATCTATTGTGAAGATTAACTAAACCGGACGAAAATACTCAAGTATGTTTCGAAGGTCTGAGTTTTTAATTAAAATCTCTTTATTTTATTAATCACAATAATTGTATAGTTTTAATGAAATATTTAATGCATGTTTATATCTATTACTAACACGATTAATTTGTTACCACATTGTTGTGTGTGTTTACAATATGAATATTCTAATAGTTTTCATTAATTTGCCATTTTAGAGAATGGGTTTAATCATCTAAATACCATCAGACATAAAGGCCTGCTTCGAGAGTCCGACAGAAAGGACCCAGTAACCTGGAGCCCAGTTTAAATTTAGGCCAATAACAAAACTTGGGTCTTCAGCTTAAAGTGGCCCGTTTTTAAGAACAAATAAATAAATAATAGAAAGTCATTTTTAGCCTCCATTTAATTGATTTTCACGTTTCATACTAATTACACATTTTTTACGATTAAAAAAATCTCTTTAAACTCCATTTAGTACCGAAAATAACATTTTAAGCTTAATTAAGGTTATATTCTCCAATTTTAAACTTAACTAGGTTTTTTTATTTTACACGATCTTTCTCGAATCACACTTAATTAGGTTTTTTCTTTACATTTTTCCCCTCCAATTTTATAATTTCAATTTACTTTCTCTTCTTCAGATTCAAATTCACCCCGTTATGTTTTTTTTATAGTTTTAGTATTATATTTTCATTAAACAAACATATATTTAAAATAAATAATATTACGGACACCGATTAATCTCACTGAATTGTGGTGCTGACATACGTGGCATCTGTGTCAAACACGGTCACATTCGACACTATAACATGTCTTCCGTGAATAAACGACTATCCAACAATTATGGATGCTCGTCCATATTTCATAAACGACAGCGCATTACAAATGGACGACTGTCCACTAATCTGGACGAATTATTCCTATGAATGGGTGTCCACCTCGATTGGACGCTCGTCCATAATTTAAATTATAAACGAACAAGGGTGAACGGCTGTCCATATTATATGGACGGGCATCCATTTTCAATAATAATAATACCATATTAAAAAATGTGTGGGTTTTTGTTGGTCTCTAATATTGGGAAATATAAAGCTTTAAAATTTAGAAGTCAAAAGATGCTAGCTTTCAGAATGTGAACCATTGTAACCATCATAATTAATAATTAGGGAAAGGAAAAAAAATCGTCTATCAAATATGAAGGAGCGTTCATAATTGTCGGACAATCATTCACTCACGAAAGACATGTTATAGTGTCTAACGTGGCAGCGTTTGACTTGAATATCATGTAAGTCGGTACAACAATTTGGTGAGATTAATCGTTATCTATAACATTATTGGTTTAAAATAAAACAAAAGGTTTAAATGATTATGAACATTTATAATTAGGTAATGAAAAACTAGGGTTTATACAAGATAAAATTTTAAAAATTAAAACAAAAGTAAAAAATACAAAAATAAATGTATTTCGAAATTATATGTGTTATTTCTAAAATTTAAATTAAGGTTAAATTTGTTAAAAATAAATAAATTTAAAAGTGGGGGTGAAATCACTTTCGTAAATAATATTTAAAGAGAAAATAATGTAAAAATATTATGACCAAGTAGAATCCAATAATGAAAATCAACATAAAAGCGAAAACAACAAAGCTGAGAAAGTCAATATGTGGGTTGCTTGGCAGAAATGGAACGCTTTGTAAAATGCCAAACAAATACCAGCATCTTACCATTCTTATCACATTTTTTTTTTTAACTCTACCATCTTGTCAAATCAACTTATACCATAACTTTGTCCTTCCTCCCCTCATAATCCTCGCCCGATAAATAATTATATATAAATATTTTTTAATGTTGTGAATTAAAAAAATTAATAATGCATTAGGATCTCACATCGGGATCTCACACTCATCAAGTATAGTACTTAAATCTATGGGCTATTCCACCTATCAGGGCAGTCTTTTGGGTTGAACTCTTCCTTGGGTTTTAGTTATAACATTGGTACTTTCGTTGAGAGTTGGGCTACGGAAAGGGCTATCTATAGGCTAGATTAAGGTGCAATGTGCATCCAAATGGAGAAAGGGCTACCGTCGGGTTAGTGTCAATAGAGTGAAAGTCGTTGTGGATGTCGGCTCTTGAAGGGGGGTGTAATGTTAGGATCCTACATCGGGATCTCACACCCACCAAGTGTGGCACTTAAACCTATAGGTTCTTCTACCTATCAGGACGGTCTTTTGGGTTGAGCTCTTCCTTGGGCTTAAGTTCTAACATAATGCTAGTAGTTAGATTCACAACCCAATCTCATAACCACAACGTGGTAGCTCGTAAATGGGTCTCGCCTGCTTGTTATGAGTCATGTCTACTTATTTGCGAGCTGATCAATTGCAAGTTACCATATCGGGGGTTGTGAGATTTGAGTTGTGGATCTAGCATTACTCTTAGTTATGCATGCACGTGCCAAAATGAGTGTACACAATGTTTTTGTAAGTAGCCCCACCTTGTAAAAATATTAAGAAATGGGGCAGGAAAGGATAAATGGTGGGTTCAAGGAATATGAATGAAATTTGGTTGAAAATGATTGAATGATAATGACTTTTGATCATCTCTTAATTTTCAAATTACTTGCTTCTAATCTACTCCAAACAAAACTACTTGCTATCCAACTGTATTTGTTTGTTCAAGCTAAATAAATACTTTTGAATAAGAGTAAACCACTTTTTCCCATCTAAATTTTAATTTTTTGAAACTTTGGCTACTCAAGTTTAAGAGATATATTTACCTATATATGAATTATTTTTATAATTATAGCTTCAAAAACATTCCTATTATTCAATTAAAAACTTATGATTGTTATTGTTATAAACCTCTTAATTATATTTTTGAGTAATTATAGCTAAAACAAGGAAGATATTTAATATGGGAAAGTATGACAATATTAAAAATATTTATACATTAAGTAGATGCTATATTTGTTAAGAGTTAATGACTTTTTCCCACCCAAATAATGGTTTAATTTCACTTTCCTGCCCATAGACTTATAAAATACTACTTTACTACCCAAATCTATATTCCGACGGTAAATGTAGAGCAAACTTGATCCAAACTGTTGGGACTTTTGAAGAGGGAAGATTGGTGAGTCTTTGGGTGGTAGAAGATTGGATTTTGGTAATTGAGATTTATTGGAATTTAACTTGGGAGAGGCGGCTGTGCAAACCCTAATAGCTCAATTGCCAGCGATTTACGAGATCAACAGAAGTAGAGTTTGAGGGATTTTGGTGAGTGATGATTTGGGAAAAGAATGGTAGTGGTGTGGGGTCGCAACGATGTCAAAATCATAAATGAAATATAAATTTGGGTAGTAAAGTGGTATTTTAAAAGTCTATAGGTGGAAAAGTGTCATTAAGATATTATTTGGGTGGGAAAAAGTCGTTTACTCTATTTATTAAATTTAATTTTTCTGTCAAAGTGGTGTTGTGATACTAATAAGGAGTTGATGTGTTATTATTTACAAAATTATTAAATCCACATGATAATTTTATGGTTAATAATAGAGTAAAGAACCTTTTCCCATCCAAATAATGGTTTAATGACATTTTCCCACTCACAAACTTTTAAAATACCATTTTACCACCCAAATTTATATTCAGTTTCCGATTTCGGCATTATTGCGACCTCTCACCACCATCGTTATCTTCTCCGATCATTACTCACCAAAATCTCTCAAACACTACTCCCAAACCCATCAATTACCGACAATCGAGCGATTAGGGTTTGCGCGACCACCCCTCTCAAGTCAAATTCCTATCAATCTCAATCGCCAAAAGACTCATCGGTCTCTCTTCTTCAAAAGCCCCAACAGTCTAGACTGAGTTTACTCTCTCTTTGCCATCGAAATATAAATTTAAATAGTAAAATAGTATTTTAAAAGTCTGTGGGTAGAAAAATATCATTAAACTATTATTTAAGTAGAAAAAAAGTTGTTAACTCTCAATAATATAAGTTAAGATAGACAAATCAGAGATCAATATTTAATTAAAAATGGACATTCAAGAAGAACACACTACATATGCCTTCTTACCACAAATTAGCACGAAAATTAATGCCATACTTAGTCCATTCCCGCAAGTAAAGTAAGAAGACACGTGTTCCTCTCACCAAATTAAGCATTACAAAATCATTAAAATTGGTTGAAAGAGTTATGGATGGGTCAGCATCTGCCAAACTTGGGGCCACATTTTCATAACTAGAGCCATTAAATTAGAGTTGAAAATGAAAGATAATATTAAAGTTTTGGGGTCAC